TACCCCCTTTACTATCGGCTTCAGAGCTGCCACAACCGGATCCAGAATTTCCCGTCCGACCAACGCCCAAAGCCGATATTCGCCTTCACTCACCGCCCTTGGGGAAACAGAAACCAGCACTATCGCTTTTTCTACTATCATAAAACTCTCGGAATCCAATCATGGGTATTCCTTTCTTCCCACCCCCCTCCGCCCCAATAGAGCTGGCATTGAATACAACCCCTCAGTGCTCCCGAAGGCTTTTCCCTTCTCCCCCCCCCTTGCCCCGACACTTACACGTCCTACGGTACTGAGGGACACGTTCACCGAACCCGGCGCTCGTGACCGCGAGGAGTGCCCCCGAGCCACCAACCGTCGCATTTGCGGCTACTCGGCAAGCCCGAGACTACTGCGGGCACTGTGCCGATGAGAGATCATCTCAGAAGGATATCCCTGGGGTGCCCCTTGCTTCTGTCAACCGTGCTGGTGCCTTAGTGGTGGGGCATGCGGTGATTATGGGCGAAGTATTCCCTGTATCGCAGACACCATGAGTTCTGTGCTACTACAATATCTTGAGTTGGTCACATTGTCATTGCTCACATGGCTTGTTCATAAAGAATTCCATTTGGCTAACCGAAGCAAGTCCGCGAACAGTACCCGAGCAGCACCCGTACCCTAGTTGGGGTGGGCACTAGTTAACCGAGCGGGCGAGGGATGGCGAGGGGAATACCGGTAGATGAGATGTCCGATACGCGAAGTTATCGACCCTACTCCTACCAGTAGCTCAATCCATGTCCACCAACCAGGCTTATCGGTGGTTACCAACACTTCTATTACCGAATATGGTGCCAACAGGTGATCTACAGTAGTGAACTAGATGCCGTAAGAACTAGAAATGATCGGCCTATGTGCTACCTCGTCGAAAAATACACTATTCGGGAAAGGGGCGGAAAACACAACAAAAGGTGAGCTGTTCAGCCAGCCAACGAGATATGAAAGAAAAAAAAACCATGACCTTTCCGGAGGAGGCAATCCCAACGACATAACACATGGGCCGATTATTCCAGTTTTTTACAGTAGCTAAAGAAGCACGGAACCCTCCTGAAGTGGGCAGACTAAACAATACCGGCATGGGTTCTCGACGTCCAATGCCATACACACCCACCGAGGGGGGAATTCATCCCACCTGAGCCCTTTTCCGGCCCTCTGCGTTAGGATGCCCCATTATCCCTGGCAGCCTTCCTACCAGCAGCTCTCACCCCTATATCGATAACGAATTATATATATAGAAAACGCCCCTGGAGATTAGTACGCTTCGGACCTTCCTAGCCGCCAAGATGGTTGCCTGGAAAACCGCTAACACCATTCTCGCGGCCCACGGGATTGAATATTGGTGCACCGTAGGTTTGGGGTACCAACTCCATCGTTTCTGACAGCGGCACTGCTACTTTCACTGCGGGGAAGTGGGCCTTTCCGGCGGATTGATGTCGAGTGACAGAATGGTGGCGCTATTCTGTACCTCTCCTACTCCCCTCGCAGACCCTCACCTATGCCATCGAGAAACCTACCTCTAGTGAACTCCATTCCTCCAGCTGGGCCAGTTGAGCCACTCCAAGCAAAGTTGAATCTCCGAACACGCCTGGATAGCCCTGAACGGCCTCCCGTTGTGTCCACGTCCGCTGAGTTGATAACCCCCGGCAGACCCGGCACACCCAGGATGTGCCTTATTTACTGTTATAAATATGCCTTAGACTTCTCTGACAAGGATACTGGCTGCCCGCGATACTATCTCGCTCTTATGAAGATGGGTTGAACGAAAACGAGGATAATTTGTGGTTACACTTATTCTCATTGCTTTAATCTATATTTGTGGTGTTTGGTTCTTCTGAGGGGCTTTCTTATTGGTACGAGGATGTGGGGCTGGTTGAACGGCAGAGGAAGGGCTGGCCAGGATGACAGCGGACAGCGCTAGAACACGTTTCTTCCACAGCGTGTCAGGCCTATGTACCGTACAACAGGCTGAATCCAATCGTTGACCTCTGGCTATATACTGTACTTAAATCATTCTACTTATTTAACAAAAAAGCCAAGAGAATTGCGAGAGCGTCGACCGTTATAGATTTCTAGCCAGTGTAAATTACCTCGCCGGCCGAGCAGTGAAGACAGCTGTATAAGTAAAAACATAATCCACACATGCTCACCGTTCAACGGATAAGCACACCTCTTTTTATTTCTCCTTGGATGCAGCCATCGCTACACACATTCCAATTAGAAGAGGGGAAAGATATATCAGTAGAACCTCGGCAATTCAACAATACATGACCGCTTTACACCACACTCCCTGAGGATCCAGCGGACTGCCACAATTTCCAGCATCCATCGACACCACCGGAACCGACCCGCAACCCACCAATAACTAGGTTTCCACTTGAATTTGAACAGCAGGTCATTTATACAGTGTCTTCCCAGGCCCCGCAGGGATAGTAACACGCAAACTGGCGGACCAAATCTCCACTGTGAAGACTTCCACCCTCGCTTTATGAAGAACCACCGTACATACCATCCCCAGTCCTGACACCGGGTACAGCGCTCGCAAGCCGCCAGGCCAGGTTAACCCGAAATTGAGCTAGGCCCCATAAGCCCGGATTTGTCGTTGCCCGGCCCAGCCGGCGGGCTGCCGGAGGGCGCCGTGTCGTGAGTAAATATTTCGCCAATGAGTAGAAGATATCCTCGGGTGCCCGGGGATATCTGTGAATATTGTGAGGCTCTTTAAAATATCCTCAAATACCGGCAGATACATCCAGATGTTTGCAGATATCGGCTATCAGGAATGCTTTATCCGAAGCTAAATTGGGCAGGCGCCCGCCAGAGACACACAAGGAGAAATAAAGAAACATAACCACCTATGCAAAGCGCGGAGAGTAGTGGGGGTGCTGGGAAATTCGGTGCCACTAGCTGTATTCCTGGAGTGTGCGGTAGATGGGTTACTTGGACATTAGCAGCTTTCCCCTTCCTTCCGCGACGTCGGCATCGTCACTATCCTTGAATGCCCCGCTCGTTTTCACTTCAGTGGCGAGCCTCGTATTAATGTTTGGGAATACTATTTGTAATATGGGTCTGCCTATGATACTGACCTGTCCATTGCTAGGTTCATAGCGGGGTTACGACAACCAACCAAACGAGGGAGTCCGGTCCCTACATGATAATTAACTTGATTGACCCCCTGGCATCTTCCCAAAAACGTGGTCCCCAAGCACACCTCATCCCAACAACCCCGCATCGAAACCCATTTTTCCCTTCCCATCCCGGTGATCCCGTTAGGCACGACTATTTACCTGAGAACACGCACTTACTCTCAGGATCTACACTGATGTCTGTGGCCGGTAGTCATTCATCTCCATTTCGGTCTAAGCGAGGAGAAAAGATTTGGAACGTCTCCGGTAAGCGATCGCAGTGAGGATAACATACCAGTGATTCTGGAATTTTGACCTATATATTAGTGTTCTATTTAATCTACGCAAGTGCATATCCGTGCCGTGCGAAGCGACGGAACGGCGGCAGTCAGATTCGATTACTTGGAAGTTTACAGATTTCTGCTGTTCTGCCAGGCCTAGCCGGGTGGGCCCCAGCAGGCGGAATGCAGCCCGCAATGCCGGGTGCTGCCTACAAACACCGCCCGGCAAAATTTTCTTTTTCCGAGCCACCCCCTGATTGAGTCACTGATAATCGGATTTCTGACCCACCTGATATAGTCACCAAAATAATTGCTATTATACTTGGGTGAGCAAGGACGCTTTGTGGGCATGACAACTGGCAGCACAGTAGCTCCAGGGCCACCCCTTATAACGCAGGAATAAAATCATAGAAAGCTGGGAGCACGCCCAGCGAAAGAATTCAAGTACCATTGCTGATTGATACTCAAGTGGAATTCGGGCTGTGCAGATCACAAATGGCTTGGAATTACAGGCGGCTATTCCCACTAGTATCTACTATGGCTTGTTGTCATAACCCCACATAATTCTTGTGAAGCTCTCATGTAACTACAGATAGTTTAGCTATGGCGCAACACACCTGCTCTTGCAAGCCGGAGTGTGGGCGGAGAAGCAGGATGAAATTTGCACGACCTCCACGAGGCATGATGCGCGAAAAAACATCTATATACCTGCCTCGAGCTTTAACACATTTCATTTGTAGATGGCTAGCAAATGGGGTCCCCGGACGAGCTCAAGAAAGATTTGTTTGATTCCTTAAACACAGTTTCCTGTCAAAAATTTATGTGACAACTGAGATCGGAGGATATAAACCCGGAGAAATCAGAAATAGTAAATACTGCCTTGAATTTCAAATTCCCAGTTATGGAATGGAGAGCCCTTGTGCACATCAAGTCTTTTCAGAATCCTCCCGAATTTCCCGGATGCAGCATCCGCCCTGACAGTTGCGGGGACCCTAGAAACGTGGAGACAGGGATGAATTCCCATTGGGTCTTGACCCTCCAGCCGTTCCCGAATGATGGGAGAGTAATAAACGCACTTGGTCCTTGAGGGAGCGGATCATCCTTGAGCTAGCCTAGGCGGCACCCCCGTCCTGGTATTCAATCCACTCCCCCTCTCCCCACCAATCTAGAAGATAAAATTGGAGGCAGAAAAAAAGAGTATTACAGAACAAGTAGCTCGGGTATAGAAAGAATGCAAGACCGGCGAAGAGTGCGTCATCGGTGAACTTCAACCTGCATAATTCAGCCCGTCTCACCGGTAACAAGAAGCACCTCTAACTTATACCCATGGACAAGATATTCAACACTATATTCGAATAGCTGCGAAATGACCTGATCTGTATTAGGATCTTCCTGTTCTTTGGTGGTAATAAGTGTGGTCTGCGGCAGCCATCCATGCCCCCCACAAGTTACCACGCCCACGTGTTCTCTCCTATCTCATCGTGCAGAATCCACAAACGGGATCGCATTCTTTCACTTCTTCCCAAAGGCATAAATACTAAGCACATTTTCCCTTCACCCCCCCCCCAACCAACAGTCCCTCACCCCCTCTACCTGATCTGAACTTCAGCCACCCTAAATTATAAAGTGGGTATTCTCCCTCTACACCACCGAACTGAGAAAATACAAAGTAACGCGCGTGCAGCCAGCGCAACCCCTTGGAACCAAATAACCAGTAATCCCCTCCTTTCCCGCCGCAGCCCCCGTCGTCGTCAAATAACTGCTAACTCAAACCCCTCAGTGCTCCTCAAAAAGCTCCCGGCTCTCACTCTATTCCTAACCCTCACTCACGCCGCGGCATTCTCCAATCCCCTTCCTCCACCTGGCACCGGGGAACTCGGAAAGCGCGATTGTGTTGCAAACGGCTGCCTGTGCAACCCCGATCGTGGGACCGGGGACTTCTGTGGGTATTGCCAGCCCCTTCAGGTCGATTGCCCAAATGAGGCCATCTGTTACACTTCCTTGTACCACTGCGGCGACGGTGGAAGGTGCTGTACTTATGGGCAGGTGGCAGAGTGTGTGTCTGGGCAGCGCCCATGTTAAAACAAGTCTTTTTCTATCTCAACGATAGATTGAGATATAGGGGGAGGGAGATAGGGATTGTCGTCCCATAAACGCTTGTGTTTCTCAGCTAGTTTTAGGGGGAGACTTTCGGACCCATCTTGTATAACTTGAGCTAGGTTTCGTGTTTGGCGTGCAGGGGATTAACATATGTCGAAATTATTGTTCTTGAGCGGTGTGCGATGACTGTGCTGGTTATTGTCACCCCCCCCCCCCACCGCGATAATGTTTCACGGACTCCTGTTTGTTAAGAATTAAACCCGAGTGTCCTAGGATGACCGACGCTCAACGCCCAGCATTGTTCTAACGCCATGCAGTAAAGCCAAACCGGACTCAAATACGCGACCACCTAAGAGTAGCAAATATCGAGAATAGCGGAGTGCTCGATCCACAGCTGCGGGTCTGATGTACTCTGCTGGGCGGACGGCCTTTACATGCCCCCGGGTTGTGCCCGGCTAGTTCCCTGGTAACTATCACATACTGCCTTTCGGCTCTTGTGCCCTTAGTTACCATTCCCCCATCTCCGCGCTCGACCCCCCGTCCTTACCGGGAAAGATTTTCGCGTAGCCAAGCAGATATAGACTGTCAGATAACTGGCCACACACCCGAAGAAGTCCCCCTTCCCAAGAAGTAAATTCGACCCATGCTAGCCGTCAAGGGAGCAGAGAGCGATCTCCACCCCAGTACCCCATGAGCCGATGGGACATGCAGATTCACCCCCTCCCCAGTTAAGGTAATGGATTACGGGGAAGGGCTTCTCATTAAGCAATTCTTGCAACCAACCTCATCTGATGCAACTATCCGGAAGATAGAACCAATAAAATAAAACAAAAGGAGTTCGAAGACAGATTGCCACTCAACGAACTCGAGATAGCCCAACCAAGTGACCAAAATACAACAGGAGAGCACTTGAAAGTGTAGATTGAGTAAACGAGCAAGCAGTCAAATAAGGATCCTCCTATTGCAGAAATTCCGAAGATGCTAGTAGGAGACTTCAAAGTTCCCTATTATCAAATGAACCCAACAACTAGCCCTCAGCCAATAGTGCAAAAAAGGGAAATTGTTCTACAGAGGCAACGAGTACTACCCCTGCTAAGATGATGGCTTGGGCGCCACAGGTCCCTATTGCTTGCTCTCTTTTGAGTGCATTCTAAAGAGTGCTTCAAAGCCCCACAGTACCGGGGGTGTTCCTGCATCTGTCATAGTATAATTCATCCCGCAGCGGGGATATCGCCCCCCCCAAGCCCCAATGAGTCCGGTTTTCCAGCACTCAACTTAGGGTTAGGGCTATTGAGTTGGGTCCATTTGATCAATCCCGTTATCCTGATCGCTCCAAAATCTATCATAGCATAGAATGCTTGGGTCGTGGATTCCAAGTCAATTGGCTAGGTTGGGCCTTGGAATGCTGATCCTCGGTCACCCGCTGAAGTTCTACGGGTGGCTTCAATGAGCGGGCAAGCGGGCTCAGGGCCCGTTTACCTACAGACGGCCGTCTAGTGCGCCTTGACGGTGCCCACCGTCAAGGGGTCTTAGCGGCCGGTAGCGTCAGCGGCGTAATTCTCATTCAGTGTTACCCAATGCTCCATTTTTGGTAATGCAACGTCTGCCGCACCGTCTTAGCGTGAGTCGGAAAATTTTATGAGATGACACAAGGTGAGAGTTTCCAACTCCCAATTCCCAACTTCCTCACCCTGTTCGCCATTTCTGACCGGTTAAAATCTTAGGCCCAACTACCACCTAAATGGCTCCTATGGTGACTCCTTGCCAGCGAAAGACTCCTCAGGAAAGACTCCTTACGTCTCACTTCTAGTGACACCTCTTTACTTGCTTCGACACAATAGGCCAAATTTGTCAAGGAGCCACACAAAAAAAAAAAAGTACGATACCATGAAGGTAGTTGACAACGGTTCGAAGAAAAATCGTACTAATTGGTGGTGATGGTATGGCAATTGTGGGCGTGACAGGTCCTAGGCGTAGTCAGGATGTATCAATGTTTGAGGTTGACGGCGTTGCTACCGCACTTCTGGGAGCTCCATCTAGTTTTGACCGTCAAACACCCAAATTTTTCCGCCGTTGAAAATTAGGTAAACGCAGTTGGCACCGTCTGTCGCACCGCCAAATCCCACCGTACAAATTTCAGAAAATAGACGGTTAGGTAAACGGGCCCTTAGTACGTACCGCATTCCAACCGGGGGAAAATTGTAAAATCTCCCCTACCGAAGTAACCCTAGCCCTAACTTGGGCCTAGGCAAACACGACTCATTGGAATGCATGCTCCTCAGGTTCAACAAGCTTCCCACAGCTGAAGATGACGACAAGAAATTGGCTGCCTCACGGGTAGGTTGCAACGCTGACCTTCGCACCTCGTTTTTAGTACTCGCCGCGGCTGGGTTGATTGTCCTGATTCCTAATAGTCAGGGCAGCCTGGTGGGCTCCTTCGTAGGGAGAGTCAAAAGCCGGAAAACGGGAGCAGATGATCCGGTCTAGCTTGCCTTGGATGTTGAAATACCTGCATGACCACCTCCGGGTCATATACCGTGGGATAATGCAGCTATGAGGTGAAGAAGACGGCCAGGGATGATGGGAAGTACGCTTCACTGCCGGGGACTGTCGGGGTCAACACCAGTGACACCTCATGATGCCGGATTGATTTCTGGATGCCTAACATCCACAATTGTGGAACTAGAGCGCTGAAATATCACATTTAGCGTTACACGGGGTGTTGGTGAGGAAATTCACTACCATTCTGGGTCGGTTTTACCCAGCGACGGTCATCTAGAGGCTAGAGATAGATCTGACCGTTAAGTAGGGTATGACGGCAGGAGGCTCCTGGAGAGTACTGGTCTAGTGTGTACCCGATGTAATGTCTAGGATGGTGGAGTTGCAGCCACCCCTCCACTCAAGAACAGCAACGTCAAATTTTGACCACCTAGTGACTAGATTCTGGGAGGATGGGAAACAAGTGAAAAAATCTCATCTGCCGTTGGTGGCACAACCTCGGCCACAAAAATACTATCTAGCTCCCCCGTAGCAATTTCAGACATAGATGGTAAATAAGCACACCTTGAGAGAGTTCAGGGGGTCAAGCGCAAGTCGAAGATTGTGCCACCCTCATATCCGATCGCTGTCCCGGCTGAATGCTCCTTTCAACACTGCATGTAACTGATTGATTCTCTCCCATTTTTCTCCAATCACGATATAAGTTTGTGCCCCTAGCAGGTAAGGGAAACACAGGTTATATTGATAATTATGCTACATCTCAATGATACCCCGGTCCGAGAAAACGTGCGTGATCCAAAAAGGCCCAATCGGTTTACCGAATCTCAAGGCATAAGGCGGTAGTCTCTGCCAGTCCGTCTTGGCCGATTATTCCTGATTATATTCCATCGTAGTGACTCCGGAAGGAATGATTATAGCCTATCATCCGAGTCGCCCTCCAAACACGAACTAGTCGGCTAAGAACACGGTTTCTCACTACACCGAGAAGCGGGCTAATACCAGGAGATTACGAAGACGGGAATAATTTGTATTCCAGGGTGATTGTTTATGTTTAGAACAATGTATATTGCTACATGATATGAGCTGAAAATATAAAGCAGAATTAGGCCTATCAGGTGATGATGGCGGAAGGAGATCACGACTGAATGAATCAGCACTAGTGCGATAATGATAGATTCAAGATGCAAGAGTGTGAGGAAGGATAGTGAAAGAATTGGCGATTATTGATCGATCCTCCGCAACTAGCTCAGGACAGAATGGGAGATAGATATCTCCAAACCAAAAAAAATAATTCTAGAACTCCAAAGAAACACCACGAACATAATAGAGGCACACCATCCTGATGAGCTATGATCCTCCATGCTCCACAACAATCCAGAACCCTCATGAACCTCCAAGAAAGAACCAGATGCCTGGAATCACAAAAGAAACCAATCCCCATGTCCGACGCCCTATGGCAACGGCAACAACGCCAACAGGAAACCCAACACTTATTCCCTACAAGCGCAAACAACCTATGATATCCGCCAAAATACCAGGCCACGTGCCCGATAGGTAATCCAACATCGGGCAAACAAAAAATAAAAAACCATTCCCATGGTTTTAGATCATCTCGCAAACTCCAAGAAAAAGAATCGGTAGCTAATGAAAACCCCCATCCTGCCCTACAACACTCCAGTAACACTTGAAGCATGCCCAATCTGCTAGGGTCACCTCTGTAAGATTACTGTGGTTGACTGTTGGAGGTGCGTGCTGTGGCATGAAGGTTGAGAAGGTTTGGGGCCTCCTTCAGTCCTGCACAGGTTAGCCAGATGTCTCACGTACCTCCTGAAAATGTGAACACTCACTAAAAGTGTTCCCAACGGTCGAGTTTGTCCGTCTTCGGGGTAGGCCGGTGGGCAATGCCCTGGAGCTTTCGGACTTGGTTGACTATGTGGGACCCCCGACCAGGAGGTTTCATGGCATGACCAAGCATCCGAAGGCAGCGAATTCAATGACAGGCTATTCTCAAAGAGCGTTGTCCGCACGACCTCGAGTGCAGTTCTCGAGTCTGAGCTTCGGGCTGCATGCATGTCACCGAGCCTTGTTGCATTCAAGTATCAACTGCTGAGTTTTTCCGACCACAAATCAGCACCGCTCCAAAGACTTTAGTTTTCAGTGTACCAAGTCGACCTACCAAAAGTGTAATAACTTAGAGAGATTCCTAGCGGGTTGGAGCAGTGTTCCCAAGCGTCCAGTCCGTCCGGGCTTAGCTTCTGACGGGACGGACGCCGGTTCCTGGAACTCTGCCCTGGACGGACGCCCGTCCCGCGGTCCGTCCTAACCTCTGCCCTGGACGGCCGGCAGGGCCCTATAGGTGTCTCGCCTGCAAATAGACCTGCAGACGAGAGCCGGGCCCTGCAAATCCCTGCGAATGACGGCCGGAGGATGCCATTTGTATTAAGACTCCCGGGCCTGGGGGTCAACCCCTCGGTCGGCAGCCTTTATCAAAGGCGGACGCCATGCCCTGCCGCCTTTACCCACCATGCCCGGGACGCCCGGGACCGTTGGGAACACTAGGTTGGAGAAGCCAAAGGAACAAGTGTGGAATGAGCTTTTGTAACGGTACCCCCGAAAGACCGAATGAGGTGTTGTGCCTTTCCGTACCCAGGTTGTCTTACGC